CAGCCCGGCCAGGTCAGGCATGTCATGTTAATTTGTGTGTGTATGACTGATTTGGTGGCTGGAGGAACCCAGTCCCATTGAGACTGAGTCCTGCAAGATAGCTCCACTGGGGGTGAGGGCTTGCAGAAGGGAGAGATACAGCTCCGTATAGTAACACAAGCAGCACATTGACAGAATCAACAAGACCTTAGAAACTATCCCTAATAAATGAGCACACCCCAAAGTAATGGGCAAATTTGGTGGCAGCTATAGTGCCAAGTATGGCCATCTCAATTTTTTGCTCAGGGTAATCTACAGACCACCATCAGAAGACAGGCCTGAGAACAAAAATTCATAATCTTACAGGACACTAAAAGTCAGAGATTAAACATACACTCTGGCAGCAATCATAAGAATCTACCTGCAATCTCTGCTAATCTTTCTGCACTGTTCAGGTGATAATATTTCAGATCTTGTTGAAGAGGTCTGCTGTGGCCTGCAGAAACCTTGCTCCTTGATGATGAGCGACACTGGGGTAAGATACTTCGTACAGGCCTATTCAGTCATCCTAAAATGAAGAGTATTAATCTAAAGCACTCCATTGTAGGCTTTACATAGTTTGAATTAGTAAAAGTTACAGGTTATAAATGACAGAGTAGGACAAACAAATAGTTAATGGAAAAGTACCAGACCTGCAGGTATGCGATATATGGCACAGTATCTGTGCATGTCTGACATTGTACTAAATGATGTGTATACAGGGGCAAATCCAGAAGGGGTGTGGCAACATGGTTGCACCTCCCTTTGGCTGTGCCTTGGTGAGTTCTCACCATATAGTCCAGAACCCCTGCTTTTGCCCTATTTTGGATCCCACAGGGTGAGCACTGCCATCACCATACATCCCCTTCCTTCCACTGCTGCTGAATTTAGCAGAGTGGGAAGGAGGTGAAGGGAGAACAGCAGCAGCATTCTTCAGGAAGACACTCCTGAGAAGGACGAGGACCAATGGTAACAAACTAATAGAGGTAAGGTTTAGATTGGACATAAGGAAGAACTTCTCCGTAAGGGTAGCAGAATCTGGAACATACTTGTGGCAGAGGTGGTGCAGTCGCCATCCTTGGAGATGTTCAAGAGGAGGCTGGATAAGCACCTCTTTGAGCTAGTTTCAACTCATTACCTCCCTGCCTATGGCAGGGGACTGGACTTGATGATCTCCCAAGTCTCTTCCACTCCATTGATTCTACGATTCATCCCCTGTGCTCCAGAGCCATGAGGAAGTGGAGGCTCTGGCCAGATTGTGCTCTGATCAGTTGGTGAACTCAGAGCTCATTGCTCTCACACAGCTCTAGCAAGAGCCCAAAGATGAGGGTAGAGAAGAGGAGGCACATCACCCTTACCCTTTTCTTGGATCTACTACTATGTATATATAGTTGCATCACACTGGGTATAAGAAAACACTGGAGTCTGACTGAAATGTTGCTTCTGGTGGAAAACATCTTAGCTTGTGGCCATTAAGTCCTTGATGGCCCTGCCAGGGGATGGTAAAATAGCCTACTGTAAACTGTAGTCCTAGAGTTTACTTATTTTGCTCTGTTCTGTACTGTACTACCCTAACAAAGAGTTACGTTTGTACCTGGTATCCTGAACAATTCCTGTTCCTTCTCTCTTCTCTTCAGTTAGCTTTGGGGAAGTGGGTAACATAGAAAGCTCTATTCTGTTTTTCTATGAAGCCAGCTAATCAGTAAGCCTCTTGGGCCATAATCACTATTCAGGGAAATTCAAATTCTGGATAACCAGGGTTTGAAGACATAACTTAAAGTTCTATTTGAATTCCTGGAACAACAGTCCCCAAAACTGATACTTACAGGAGATACTTTGTGGTTCTTAATAATGATGCTTTTATATATTTTTGCCTTTTGAGTAATGCAAAATGATAGGAACCAACCTGAATTTCTCACATGCTCCCAATCAACCTTTATCTTATACATCCATGTATATGCTGGGCATCATATTTGTAAGGGACATGAATCATGTCTATCTTAAAAACAAACAGAAGGTGATTCTTTGGGGGGGGACAGAGCAGCTTGGGACTGCTTTCCACCAGTTCATATTCCCTCAATAGAGTCTCCCTTCACAATTACAGGGATTCCTCAGTGAGGTTATTAAATGGACAATTCCAGTGTTACATGCTTGGTCCTATACAAATGCACAGGCAAAACTGTCTACAAAGAGATGATCATCTAATTTGACATGACAGGCAAAATGTGAGTGGAGCCAACAATTGGAGACGAGGATGAGAGTAGAGGTAATGAAACAGATTTGTTATTGTACAACTTGTTTGCGCCACATCACTATAAAAAAAATACACTACATGAACCCAAACAGCTGTCCCTGACAACTGTGGAAAGGGATCTCAGAGTCGTAGTCAACTCCAAAATGAACATGAGTCACCAGTGTGATGAGGTAATAAGTAAAGCTAACTGCATCCTTTCTTGCATAAGTAGGTGCATCACAAACAGGTCTAGGGAAGTGATGCTTCTCCTCTACGTGGCATCGGTCAGGCCACAGCAGGAGTACTGCATCCAGTTTTGGGTGCTGCACTTCAGGAGGGATGTGGATGGCCTGGAAAGGGTTCAGAGGAGGGCCACTCATCTGGTTAAAACCTACAGAAAAAACCCTATGTGGACCAATTAGGAGACCTGAATCTCTTCAGCCTCTGCAAGAGGTGGCTGAGAGGTGATCTTGTGGCTGCCTACAAACTCATCAGGGGGTACAGCAAGAAATAGGGGATACAATGTTTACCAGGGCACCTGTTGGGGTAACTATAAATAATGGCCACAAACTGGAAAAGAGCAAATTCAGACTGGACATCAAGTTCTTTACAGTGAGGGTTGTCAAAATATGGAATAAGCTTCCAAGGGAGGTGGTGCTATCCCCTTCCTTGGAGTTGTTTAAAAGGAGATTGGACAGACACCCAGCTGGGGTCATCTGACCCCAGCACTCATTCCTGTCCAGGGCAGGGGGTCAGACTTCGTGATCTAATAGGTTCCTTCTGACCCTAACATCTATGAAACTATGACTTCAACTCAACCCGGCTGTCACTGGTTGGTTAGTTTCTTGCACACATCTCTGCAGGCTTGTTTAAGATGTTATGGGGATTTTGTGGATTGTAGCCTTAAGGATAAATTCTAACAGGAAAAGGAGAAGGGGAAAAGAGGATTTTGTGGGAAAATAGGCTATGGGAGTATTCAGTAATAGACTTATTGGCATAGCAAATGGCTGGGCTGGAGGACATAGTTAGAGACAGCTGTGTAGGAAATAGAACTTGTCAACAATGAGAGTGAGAAGTCTGTCCCTCTAACTTTCAAATTATGATTAAGTGTTTTTAATATCTGCAATCAAAGAAGAATTACGAGAAGAAGGGCATAGACGGGTAACATTCAGGATCAACAAATGAACAGCTATTCGTTTATTTCAGTGAGATCTACGAACACACCTCATGTTTACCTAATGGAAATATCAACACATTTTGTCTATCCTGATCCGAGCAAGAAATTGTCTTTTAGAAAAATATGAAAAGTATATATAGATTAGTATTTAGAAACTTCTGCAGATTTTAAAACCAGAAATTTCTTGAGCAGAGGTTATAATTCTAAAATTGGATTATACTAGAATGACTTTAAACAGAATTTGACTCTTTTGTGTTTCATTTAGAAATAAAGTGAATGTGTGAGTGGGTGAATTTTTTTTATTATTTACATTGAAATGAACTATAATTGGGATACTCACCGATTACACAGAAAGGTTTCCTTGCAAATCTTAACCTTCCTTGCCATCCCCGGTATCGACAACAGCAGCCAGCAGACCAGATACGAATGATAAACTCCAAACCAAAGACAACAATCATGACAAACTCCTGGAAAGAGCAAAGAAGAAGAATATCTTTTACAGGTAACACAAACAAGTTACAAGAAAGAAATCCTGACAATCTCAAGCACTTGGGGCATTTATACACATACATTTTGTCCTGGGACACACCAGAGATCTGCCACTTTGGAGCAGACTCGATTAACTGAAACTGCTCCGTACATGAGCTGAGGTGAACTGTGCCGTGCCACGTGCAGTTATATAAGCAGCAAAATGCATGTCAGCGTGCAGAAAATGGCGGTGATATGCTGTTGAACTGAAGCACTTCCAATGTGTTCTAGTTCAAAAGCACGCCACCACCATTTTCTCAGTGTTAACACACATTTTGCCGCTTATAGAATTGCAAGCATCATAGCCTGGGGCACTTGCTTGTGTAAAAAATGCCCCTGGAGTTGAGCTTGGTTCAGGAAGAGAAGTACAGTTAAACGCTTTCTGCGAGGGATCCAAATCCCAAGATATTTGCGCAGCCACACAATAAATAATCTCCAGAGTTCCCTTATTAGATGTCCTAGCCTGCTCTCTGAAACAAAGTATATTCCAAAATCAGCTAATGTGTAAGCCTTACACGTACACTAATGTGTAAGCCTTAAGGGCCTGAACCAACACTATGAATGTCAGTGGTGAATCTCCTGGTGACTTCAGAGTTTCAGGGTCAGGCCAGCTACCCAAGAATATACAGCATACACCCAAATTCAGAACAGAGTTCTTATTTTGAGGCTGAATATTTTGGCAGGAATATTCTTATCTTACTCCACAGTACTGGTATGGATGTAGGGTACTCAAAATAATTCAAGAAATGCTGATTTATTTACAGAAGTTTGTTAGAAATATCCTGTAGCACTTTGAGAAAAGAAACAAACTCATTTGGTCAGCTGGTGCAACCTGTGTTGACTTTCAGATATGAGGCTGGACCTAGTTCTCATTGAGGCAGGGGTGGGCAAAATATGGCCTGTGGGCCAGATTTGGCCCACCAGGCACTTTCATCTGGCCTGTGGCGACCCTCAGTGAATTGTGCCCCACCCAGCTCTTCCGCCCATGATGGTAGGAGTGAGGCACCTACACCTGCCCCCAAGATACCTTTTATGCTTTGGTCCTACCTTCATGGTAGGCTCTTCTAGCATGAGGCAGGACTGCTGCAGGCTTCCCCAGCATTCTGCTTCCTCCAAGAAGCAGGTAGGGAAGGGGAAGGCTGGGGTGGTCCTGCAGCTGGGGGGTGGG